ACCATGGCCTACTTCCAGATGAAAAAACAGAGGGGATAAGTCCCTCGGGCGGCTTTGAGATGGTTGTCTAGTGTTTTTCTATCCATTTTGATTAATATTAGTTTGTATTTTTATACTATAAAGATATGAATTCGGTATTAAAATACCTAGTTTTTGTCAAAACATTGTAAAAATTATATATATAAAAAAGTCTTGTTTTTATTCATACAGCCAAGTCTCTAAAAAAAATCATATCGTATTTCCATACAAAGAATATTTAAAAAAAAAAAGTTTTAGCATGTTTTTTTACTTTAATAACTAGTTTATTAAAGTCATAAAAACTATGCCAATATTTCAAAAACTTCAAAAAACAATTTTTTTTCTTTTAATATTAAGGATTTCGCACTTATGCATGAGGTGTATTCTTGATATTAAAAGGATAGTTTTTTATTGACATTTTAGATTTAACTCGACAAGATAAATATTTTCTTACCGAAGAAAACTTTTCTTAAACCATAAATGGACCAACAATTAAAAATACAATAACATCTTAGCATATATCAGATAATCACACAATGCAGTTTACCTTCGGTAGGGCGTATTTGGAGTGCTAATACCTTTTATTTACGCAACTAGTCCTCGTGCCCGATCTCTAAGATCAGTTAGGATTCCTAGTGACCAAATACTAGTGGCAACTCCCATTCTTGTTTTCCACTAATAAAAAATAAGAATTCCTTGTCTTCCCATGTTTGCCCGATACATTTTATAAGAGTGGATGATTCGCTGCGACGCCGCACACATGCGACAGAACAATGACTCTGTTGGGACCTTATGAACTAAACATTGTTTTTGTCTGATAATTATGTTGTTTGGTTTGCATGCTTTCTGTTAATATCCTTATTGTATTTATTTTCTTATGCACTTTAATTTCTATACATATTTGATCATGCATTGTATAGAATTGATTTATGCATCACACTCTAAGTTTTGGGAAATACATATAAGCTTATAAGTTAGGTAGGGGATTAACGATCTGCCCTATGACTATTGGTCACTGTTCAAATATATGAAACAACCAACTTATATTTAAATATCTACTTGGTAATGGTAGGCATTTATACCTTAACTATTTCACGCAATTTTTATTGTTTATGGTGGCTGACATTATTAGTTGAATTGGAAAAGTTTGTTGCCCCATTAACAATAAAAGCTAAAGTTAAAAGCATTTTTACTCTACATATATAATTAATTATTCACTGTAGTCATGTAAGTATGTTTTTGTCATTTTCAAAAAAAGTCAAAGGCCTTGGTATTAAGGGTATTTAAGTCATTTCTCGTAACCCAATAGTTATTAAAGAATTGATTAAGAATATAAGTGTCTTTTTATTTTTTTAAAGACAGTAAAATAACAAGTTTAACATTAGAATAAAAAAAATTAAACTATGCATCTAGGAAACTTTTGATCTTTTCACTCTATTTTTTTTTTAATTACGAGGTTCATCAATGATAATTTAATCTCTTACTAAGGGTTAATTATTATTTAAATAAAAAAAGTTGCTGGAAAAATACACCAGCTTGTGAAAGATGTCCATACATTTTAGTAGGTGTGTGCTACATCTTCTAATGGAAAAATACTCTTCCACCGTGTTGTTGAAAGCATAATTGCATCATTTTCATGTTGTTACATCATGTTTGTGGTGGGCTAATTTGTCATTGACAAAGTTTTTTTTTTTTCTCTCCCTTCTTCCCTTAGAAATACATGTTGATTCTTTTGTAAATTTTTGTAAATCATAAAAATAACAATAATTTTTTATTCTTCCCACACCCAAATTCTGATATGGAAGGACAATCCTCGTAACACTACTCACGTGACACACGAACATTATCAAATAGTTCATTGAGATTTGCTAGAGATGCTGAATGTAAGGAAGTTAGTTAGCAACTTCTCAACATCTAATTAACATTAATTTTCTATATGAATTTGATACCGTTAGGCAACAAATAGCCTACAAGCATAAATTTTAGGCAGCGTATTTCACCTCCTAATCTTCAATCAACCTCACAGTTGATATTATTATAAACCTAAACAAACTTTATATACATTCCGAACGTTGAAAACTAACTATCTAGTTAATTTTCTATATAAACTTGATACCGTCAGGTAACAAAGAGTATGCACCCAAAAAATGTTGGCAGCCTAATTCAACTTCTAATAATTAATTAAGTTCATATTATTCTAAATCTAAAAAAACTAAACTAAAAATATATTTGAATACTAGTTGAAACTTAATTTTCTTCCTCTTAGGAATCGGATAGTCTCCTAAACCTAACATGAAATTTATTTTGCAAGTGTTCGTGCTACTCAATTCCAACAATCCTAAACTTCCAATTCATCCATCAGTTTTAAAAACAACATGATCTCTATAAAGTTTCATGCGAAGTTCATCAAATAGTTTTTGGAGATTTGTAAGAGATGCCAAATTCAAGGAAGATAGTTAGCATTAATATACCGGAGGAGTGCATATAAATTTGATACTGTTAGGCAACAACTTAGCCTTCCTCTAATACATATATTTACATGATGCGAACATCTCAACATCTAACATTAATTTTCTACATAAATTTCATACGGTTAGGCAACAAATAGCCTGTACTCACCAAATTTAGGCAGCCTAATTCAAGTCCTGATATTCAATTAATGTAATAGTTGATTTTATTCTAAAGCTAAAAAAACTTAATACAGCGGAGTACATGTTGAAAATTAATTGTCCATTTAATTTTCTAATTAAGTTGGATACCGCTATGCAACAAATAGCAGATGCCCACAAATATAATTAAATTGGATAGTGTTCTGCATGTCTCGTAGTGACAATATCTAGAGTAACATATTAATTTATGTCGGTGTCAAGAAACCAAGTGATATAATTTTTTGTTGTTGAAGCGTTACTGAAAGAGAGATTAGTCGATGCGTCATTACCATTATTGTAACCTATTTTTGAGTCTCCACAAAAAAAATACAAAAATAAAAAAATATATAGTTGGAAGAAATCCAAAAAACAAATATAGTAGACAATATATAGAGTAACATATTGATTTATGTTAGTGTCAAGAAACAAAATGATATAATTTTTTTTTGTTGAAGCGTTACTGAAAAAGAGATTACTCGATGTGTCATTACTATTGTTGTAATCTATTTTTGAATCCCCACAAAAAAAATATAAAAAAAAATATATAGTTGGAAGAAATCCAAAAAACAAATATAGTAGACAATATATAGAGTAACATATTGATTTATGTTAGTGTCAAGAAACAAAATGATATAATTTTTTTTTGTTGAAGCGTTACTGAAAAAGAGATTACTCGATGTGTCATTACTATTGTTGTAATCTATTTTTGAATCCCCACAAAAAAAATATAAAAAAAAATATATAGTTGGAAGAAATCCAAAAAACAAATATAGTAGACAATATATAGAGTAACATATTGATTTATGTTAGTGTCAAGAAACAAAATGATATAATTTTTTTTTGTTGAAGCGTTACTGAAAAAGAGATTACTCGATGTGTCATTACTATTGTTGTAATCTATTTTTGAATCCCCACAAAAAAAATATAAAAAAAAATATATAGTTGGAAGAAATCCAAAAAACAAATATAGTAGACAATATATAGAGTAACATATTGATTTATGTTAGTGTCAAGAAACAAAATGATATAATTTTTTTTTGTTGAAGCGTTACTGAAAAAGAGATTACTCGATGTGTCATTACTATTGTTGTAATCTATTTTTGAATCCCCACAAAAAAAATATAAAAAAAAATATATAGTTGGAAGAAATCTAAAAAAAAAAAACATACTAGTCAGAATAGGATGCCGGAGCATCCAAAAAAGAAAATAGTTAGAAAATAGTTGAAGAGGTTTAAAATACAAATTTTGAAATTTACCATTATACTTTTGACTAATGAGAGCTTTGTTAACAAAAAAAAAATCAATTTTAGGAAGAAAATTGAAAATTAGATGTTTATTTACTCAATTAAATTTTATTGAAGGTTTAATTGAATTTATGAAAGGTTTGATTGCAAATTTTTTTTATTTTAAGTCAATTTGGGCTTTAATTGGAAGAAATTAAAATTCTAGGATCATATTATAATTTTTAAAGTTGATTTGGTCAAATCAGGGATTTAATTACATAAATATGAAGGTTTGATGGCCAATTAGAAACTTAATTGAAGAAATTTAAAATTAAGGACCAAGTTGGAAAAGACACGTAACTATAAGGGTTGCAATTGACCAAATCTAGTGCTAAATTGTAGAAATTGGAAGTTTATTGACGAATTGAGGGTTAAATTGCATAAATAAAAAATCAAGGACTAAAGTTAAAAGGGCGGCCAACTTTAGGGCTGGCAATTGAATTTGGTAGCAATTGAGGACTTGATTAAAAAAATCACAAATTAAAGATTAATTTGGAAATTAACAAGTTTTGACACCATTTCTTTTAAATAAAATAACATGTTTTAGATAAAACGGTGTCATTTCATCCATTGTTAAAAAAAAAACTCAAAACTGTATCATTTTGAATAGCACTATGAGTCTTTTTTTTCCCATCGAAGCTCACAAACGTAAAGGAAGAAAAAGTTTTTCTCCCCTACATTTTTCCATTCCCTCTCTTTCCCAAAACTCAAAAACAAACCGATAAAGATCTCCACTTGCCTGGAAAAACAAAGGGGATAAGTCCCTCAGGCGGCTTTGAGATGGTTGTTTATTGTTTTTTTATCCATTTTGATTAATATTAGTTTATATTTTTATATTATAAAGATATAAATTTAATATTAAAATACCTAATTTTTGTCAAAACATTGCAAAAATTATATATATAAAAATCGTGGCCTAATAGTTGATTTTATTCTAAAGCTAAAAAACTGAATATACCGGGGTACATGTTGAAAATTAACTGTCCATTTAATTTTCTAATTAAAATGGATACCGCTAGGCAACAAATAGCCTATGCCCACAAATAGACTACAATTATACTTATGTATTACAAACATAACCAGAAAAAAATAAATTGCATTTTACCTGCTGGCCCCGTCTATAAATTGTACTATTATCTCACAAGCTTTTGGAGGGTGAACTTAGGCTTGTTGGGAAAAACAGAAGCTGAGAATGGCATCACAAGAGGCAGAGGCAATGTTAAAAAGCCAAGTTGAAATATCGCAACTCGTGCTTGGTTTTGCTGATTCTATGGCTTTGAAGTGTGCGGTCGAGCTTCGACTGGCAGATATAATAAATTCTCACGGTCGTCCAATCTCTCTGTCCCAAATAGCTTCAGGTTTCAACTTCAATCCTTTTCTTTGCATGCATTGTAAAGAATGAGCAAGAATATAGCAATTAAATTATTAGGATTGCTATGCATATAATTCTACTGTTGAAAACTACAAAGTCAATATGGTAAATTTAAATAGAATGGGTTTTAATTCAAAAAATATTGGTCAAGTAGTTTTGCATTTAGACGTTTTATTTTGACATTAAGATGTAGCTCAAGTGAAAATTATTATTCTCCCTTTTCAAAGAAATTTCAAATCCGAATATCTCCGTTATAACCCGAATCTTTTATGTTAAATACATAAACGATATAATTGAGTAATTTTTCCTCAGATTATCCTAGGACTTCATATATATAAATGTTTCCAAAGTATACTATAGTTTACTCTCTTTGTATATATGTTTCACAACATGTTTCGAATTTTTTTTTTCATATGTTAGAATGAGATGTTAAAAATTGTAGGGATATGAATTTTATATTTTGAAAATACTCAAAAATAGCTTAAATTAAGGGCCACTTGGGCAATAGTCTGAGGCCCCCACTTAAGAAAAAATTCAAAAAATAAATAAAGTATATTTATTAATTACGTCTTATGAATGAAGTGAAAATTATCATCACTTAACAAAACCTTCAAGTACTAAATGAGAATTGTTGAAGACCCTACTTGTCAAGCATACATAAAAAATAATAACAAAATATTTTAAAAAATCTAAGTTATAGTTTTGTCCAAGATCACTATTTATTTTAAGCTTTGAAGATACTAGTAAACTATAAACCTTGATTCTAGCCTAAAGATTAGTATATAATTAAAACATAGATACTAATATATAACCTATAAATGTTATTCTTTTATATCAATAAAATATGTCTTTACATATAATAATAAGATATAGTCTCTGCATTAAACTACTAATTTACCTCTTTACCTAGCTACTATCCTTAATTATCCTTCTTTCTTCGAGTATTTAAAAAAAATGAATACTTAATTTTTAACATAATATCAGGGCATATATCTTGAATTTTAACATCGTAGCTAGCTAGTCATTATGCTCACCACTAGGTGATTCGCCCAAGTTGTTGTTTGATGCATGGTATAAGTTCTTGATAGAACTTCTTAAACTATAGGAACACGTGAAGAAATATTTTAACATTATATTGGTATCCCTAGCCTCACCAAAGCACAACATATACAGTTTTAATTTCGAAAATGAAATATGTTGTATATAAGTTGCAATATACAGATTTTTTTTCTTGTATCCTTCATGATTTCAGGTATTAACTCACCTAGCCCGGACATTTCTTATCTTGCTCGTATCATGAGATATGTGGTCAGAAAAGACATTTTTAGTGCACACCCCCCATCAGATGGAGGCGAAACACTCTTTGGGCTGAATCAAAAATCAAGAATGCTAATGCATGACTCTGAACGAAGCCTCGTTCCTATATTAACCATACAACACAGTCCATGGCTCCAAGCACCGTGGCATTGCTTGAGCCAATGTATCAAAGAAGGTGGAACCTCTTTTTCGAAGGCTCATGGCTGTGAACTGTGGGATTTTTCTTCTCGAAATCCTGAGGCCAGTAGGATTTTCAATGAGGCCATGGCATGCACATCAAAGATCACGATGACGGCAATTTTATCACATTACAAAGATGGTTTCAACAACATTAGATCATTGGTGGATGTTGGTGGTGGTATTGGAGGACATGTAGCAGAGTTTGCCAGGGCCTACCCACACATTAAAGGAATAAACTTGGATCTGCCACATGTTGTAGCAACAGCACCAAAATATGAAGGAGTTTCCCATGTTGCAGGAAATATGTTTGAGGCTATTCCTAATGCTGATGCAATTTTCATCAAGGTCAGTGCCTTGGTAGAAATTTTATTGGGGCTCGAATTAATATAACGATAGATATCCTTTTCTTGAGCATTAATTTTACATATGCTTACTCCTTTTTTTGTATTTTTACAGCGGATATTGCATGATTGGACCGATGAATCATGCGTTGAAATTTTGAGAAATTGCAAGAAAGCAATACCTGAAAAAACTGGAAAGCTTATCATAGTTGATATAGTTCTACAAACAGATGATCATTGTGATAAATTTGATGATATAAGAATGGGAATGGATTTAGTGATGTTTGCAGTGACCACTGGTGGGAAGGAGAGAACTGAGCAAGAATGGAAGAAATTATTAGAGGAAGGAGGCTTCTCTCGCTATAAAATCATCAAGATTCCAGCTTTGGAATCTATTATCGAGGCTTATCCAGAGTGAAATATCAATTTGTTATAGTCATAATAATATCTTAAATAAGTAAACTACGCCTGCGATGCAGCAGTCAATAATAATATTAGGCATAATAATCCGAGCCATGTAACGCCTTTCCCTAAACTGTATTCATAGATTATTAAAGCTTTATAATATATTATTGATTATGATGGTCGCTTGTGGTTGTAATCTATAGAAACTAGATGATTATATATATGTTTTATAGTAAAGGAGGTATTTTTGGATTAGTCTTTACGTAATTGAGACTCGATCCACCACTCACAGAGCTAGGTCAGCGCCCGATCTCCCCTGGCCTTGGATCGATTCCAAGAACAAGACTCTTTGAATCTATTAACAATGAATATGCAATATTACACGAAGAAAAAGAACATTTTCGATGGTGAGAATTGAACTTCTAACTTAATGAGTTAGAAGCACATTCTCCTATATTGCTCCACCACAATCTTCGATGGTTGAAAATAATATAATGATAACAATGGTAATGGATTTAGTAATGTCGGCACACTCCACAGGTAGGAAGGAGAGAGCTGATCAAGAATGGAAGAAATTATTAGAGGAAAGAGGTTTCACTCGTGATGAGGTCCTATTTTTTTCCTTGGGCTTGAAGGTTGGGCCCGAGTTTGTGTAAAGTCATTAATATTTTAGCTCTGACAATTTAGCCTAGCCTTCCATTATAAAAGAACAGGTAGATCATTGTTGTTACATGCAAAAAGCTTCATTTTATCTTTTTAATGATTAAATTAGAATTGGTTCAAGGAAAGATAAATTATCCCTTTGATAAAAGGTTTTTTCTTTAAGAAATAATTGTCATCCTTTCATAGCCCGCTGTATGCTTTTCTTCTTTGTAGGGAAAAGGTTGGCTTGTACCTAAAATATCCATGTCTCATCATGATAAAATAATATTTTTTTATAATGATAAAATATTTCTGATTTATGATCCCAGGATAAAATATCTCTAATCCATTATTATAAAATATTTTTAATCTAATATATATGACCAATATTCCTTATCCATTTTTAGATTCTCACATAAAAAATTGAAAAAAAAATAAAAAACAATATATCAAAAAAACATTTGAAAGAAATTCAAAAAATAATAACAGTGAGAAAATGATGCTAGAATGCCCATAAAATAGCTAAAAATTAGTTAAGAAGATTCAAAAATACAAAAATAAAAATTTAATAGTATCTCATTGATTGATGAGAGTTCTATTGACAAGAAAATTTTAATTTTTAAGAAAAAAATTCAAAATTAGATATTTATGAATTCAATTAAATTTTATTGAAGGTTTAATTGAATTTATGGAGGATTTGATTGTAAGAAAAAATATTTTTAAGTTAATTTAAGCTTTATTTGAACAAAATTAAAGTTTAGGGATCAATTATAATTTGTTCAGGGGTTTGATTACAAAATTTTGAAACCACAAAGACCAAATCAAAATGGCCATTTGAATTGGAGAAACAGAGACGTTTCATGAACTGTTCATCGTCTTCTCCTCAGCAACGGTTTCAGTAATAAAATGCCGCAGATTGCTTCAGTCATGGGGAACGTTTCAATGCTACAATCTCTCTGCACACCGCCGACTGTTACGACTGCAATAATATCGCAAACGTCTTTATTATAAAAGAAAAAAAACGCATGCAGTTTTGGCTATAAAAAGCCGGGGAGAGAGAGAGAACGGAGGAGGGAGCACAAGGAGCAGAATAAAACAAAAGAGGAGGGAAGAAGAATAGGGAGGCAGAGCGAGCAGGACAGAAGAGAGAGTGGGGAATCAGCACGAGAGGGAGACAAAAACAAGCAAAAGGAAAGAATGTAAGCAGAGGAAATCGTTGAGACCAGAAACAGCGTTGCCATCATCTTCGTCATTTCAGAAAACTAGAAACGAAGAAGAAGAAGAAGGGTGCAGGAATGAAAACAGTAGCAGAAAGAAAGGAAAAAAAACGTTGCCAGATCAGAGCACTAATCACCCTCAACTTTGTCTTCATCTTCAGGCAGCAGCTCCAGGGAACGTTTGAGAGGACCAGAGAGGGAGAGAGAATAAAACAGGGAACAAGAGGAAGAGCAGAGCAGAAGAGAAGAAAAAAAAAAGTAGAAGGGAAACGCAGAGAAATAAAGAAGAGCCGCCGGCCAGTCAGCACCACGGTCCGCAACCGCATCATCATCACTGCCAGCTGCCGCTATCCTCCCCGTCGACAACAGCACCGTGAGAAATAGAAGAAGACCACAGAAGCAGAGAAGAACAGGGCAGAAGAAAAAACGCAGAGAAGAAAAAGAAAGGCCGTCTACTATCCAAGTTGTTCTCCGGTCAGCAACCAATAGCAGCATCGCCTCGAAACCATCGCAGATCCCTTCCACCCCCTCTTCCTTCTTCTTCTTCCTTCTCCACTTCATCTTCTTCGGTTCCGTCCTCCACTGTTTACTGGGCCAGGCAGCGCCGGCCCAGCCAAAAAAAGTCGGGACAGGTTGAGCGTAGTTTAAAAAAAAAATTCAAAACTTCAAAAAAAATTGTGATTTTTTCACACAATTTTATACTGAATTTTGCTTAGTATTAGTTTGTATTTTATACTATAAAAATATAAATCTGGTATTAAAATATTTGGTTTTCGTCAAAATATTTTTTAAAAAAATAAAATAATAAATTTTTTTATTTTTATGCATACCGCCAAGTCTCTCAAAAATAATATAAAAAATCACAAGGGTTTTAGCATGTATTTTGGCTTTAATAACCAGTTTATTAAAGTCACGAAAACTAGGTCAATGTTTCAAAAAATCCAAAAAAAAAATATTTTATTTTTTTTAATATTTGGGGTTACGACCTTATACGTAAGACGTATTTTAGATATTAAATTTTTTTTATTGACATTAGAACGGTTAGGTTTTACCCAAGAAGATAAAAATTTCCTTACCGAGAAAAACTTTTCTTAAACCATAAATGGATCAACAACTAGAAAACACAACAAGATTTTAGATTTTATTAGACAATAAAACAATGCAACTTGCCTTAGGAAAGGCATATTTGGGGTGCTAATACCTTCAATTTACATAACCAGTCATTGTACTTGATCTATAAGACTAGTTAGGGTTCCTAGTGACCAAAATACTAGGTGGCGACTCTCATTCTATTTTTTTCACTGATAAGAGACAAGAATTCCTTGTTTTCCCATCTTTGCCACATTTAGATTAGATTAAGATATTTTGAGAGTGGATGTTTTCGCCACGACACTACACATGTGCGACAAGTCCTATCAGGATGAAATATCTTTGTTCCATCAATCCATCAAAAGGCCTCTAGGCTCTACACTTAGTTGAATCTAAGGATGATGGGTTTGGTAACTCACCAAACTCATAGGCATTTAGGTTTAACGCTTGACTAAGTCTAGGGACAATGGATCATAACCCTTTTATGGTCAGCCATTTGGAGAGCCATTTCAAACATATGAAAAAAAGCAATAAATGATGATCTATCAGTAGCCCCTTAAATCTTTAGATATTATACTCAAAGATTTTAAAAATTCTTTACACGTAAAAGGTGAGGACCTTTTTATCTTTCCTCTAAGATCTTTATGCATCCCTCCTAGCACCTTTATGATCCTCAAGTCTGGGTGGATTCTTTTTATGGGTAAAAGGTTTGCTTGAGGGAACAAAACGATCACTAGTACTCAATGTAGCCTTCTCGATGACTAGCACTTATGTAGCCTTCTCAAGATATATGATGACACAAAAAAATGTTTCAACCAACAGTAAGGGTGTAGCACAAAAAAATCTTTTATTTATAATCTTAATTGTTTTTACTTTTGCCTTTACTTTTACTTCATCTCATTAGTAAAAAAAAAAAAGAGAGAAAAAAACTACTCTCACGGAAAAGACCTTAAGTTATGTCTTCCTTAACCCCAGACAAACTTGTATGAATCATCCTAAAATTTTTTTAATAATCTTTCAATTTCAACCAGAATTAATGGATCCTAGAAACACTAGACCTATTTCAAGAAAAAAAAGTGCTCCAACTCTTGACAAAGAGTTTAGGTTTCAGCCAGAACCTAAAAAGAGCAATAATGGAAATGGGTTACTCATATTAGGCCTAGTTGAGAATAATTAGGAGGCTTGACCTTTGGTTTAGCCAATCATTTTCTATTTATATGTGTAAGGTAATATACAATAGTTAAGATAGAGAATACAATACTAGAGTAGTGCCCATAATATTTTTTATATAGTATATATTCTATAATAGACCCCCTCAAGCTGAGGATGAAGGATCGACTCAAAGTTTGAAACAAAAGGCAATAAACGAAGCAATAGGAAGTCGCTTAGTAAAGACATTTGCAAGTTGATCCTGAGAGGAAATCAAATGAATTTGAATCTCCTTTGCAACTTTATCTCGGATAAAATGATAATCAGCCTCTACATGTTTTGTGCGAGTATGAAAAATAAGATTCACAGATAAATAAGTGGCACCAAGATTATCACATAGAATGTTAAGAGCAAAAGCAGATAAAAATTAAAGATTTGCTAATAAATATTGAAGTTAAATAACCTCATTAGTGTCATCTACTAAGGCTTTGTACTCAGCTTCAGTAGAGGAGCAAGCAATTGTACTTTGCTTACTTGATTTTCATGAAATTAGTGTTTAATCAGAAAACACAAGATAATCACCCATAGATTTTCTATCATCAATATTACCTGCCCAATTTGCATATGTAAAGCCAAGTAATGCAAAGGAAAAACTATGAGTAATATGTAGGTCATGTGTAGTAATACCCTTAAGATAACGCAAAATGCGTTTAACGGCTGCCGAAAAATAATTTGTAAGAGTATGCATAAACTGACAGACTCTATTAACAACAAAGTAAATATATGGTCTTGTAAAAGTGAGATATTTAAGAGCACTCATAATTTGATGAAAGCATATAACATCATAAAATAAAGGATCTGGTAGTATGATAACTTTGGATATAAAGATAAGATTATCAACAGGTTTGCAAGATATCATACCAGCCCGAGTGAGGATGTCAAGTGTATATTTATGCTATCGTAGCATAAGACTCATACCAATAGACTGAACCTCAATACCAAAAAATAATGAACAGTACCTAAGTCATGAAGCTTAAATTATGAGCTCAACAACTGTATGAAGCGTTTAAGCATAAAAGAGTTACTACCCGTAAGTAGAATATCATCAACATAGACTAAAAGATAAAAACATATTACTACTAATAAAGAAGATAAATA